AGGTGGGCATCGGGCACAGCTTGGACTCCATTATCCTGGAAGTCTTCCCATCCTAAAAGATTCCAGGATTCTCCAATTTCATGATACATCTGCTTATAAAATAGAATCCCAGCAGTGTGTGCAGCTTGAGGAATAGGCTTTTCCTGGAATTTTCTCTCATGCTTTCAGTATTTTAACTTGGGCAAAAATTCCATCTCAGGACATTTTTGGAGTTTCACCTTCCTGGTAGCCAGAGTCCTGCCAGGTAATTTTGTTGGTGTTGGTTTTGACACATGTAGTTTATTTTAATTCAGTGGAGCATCAACTGGACTGGACTGGAACCTGGGGCATTTTTTCCTGTTGTTCAAGAGTAATCCAGGTATATTTTGAAAAGAAAAATCCATTTTTTCCTAAAACCTGAGAATAAGTTTTTTTATGGATTACTTAAGGTGTCATCACCTCCTTTGAAGAAAATAACAATTTTTATTCTTATATTTCTTTTTATTTGAAATAAAAGATTTTACAACTTTTTTTTTAATAGAGGTTTTTGTCATTACCAAATTATTGCTGTTTTATAAACAAAGAGAATTAACATTTTTCAGACCAAGAAAAGGTGTTTAAATAAGAAGTTTTTAAAAACTTTGATGAAGTCAGAGGGATGTTTCCAAACCAAGATTCCTTGGATTCTTGATTTGAAAAATGAGGAATTATCTGTTTGAAATGGGGAAAATACCAGATTAGAAGTTAAACCTCTGCAAACAGAAAGCCTTGTTAAGAAGAGGAATTTAGACCCTGTTTTCTCTGTTGTGATCCAGGGTTTGTGTGCATCCAGATTTTGAGAATACAGATTTTGGCCATAGGAAGAGGAAACTGTCTTTGAATGCCCTACTGTTGTTTTGCTGCAGTATCAAGTTCAGGACTGTAATAAAAGCCGGTTTGCTCTTTATAAACTGGAGACCAAATTACTTTTTGTCTCCTAATTCCCTTGTTTCTTTGCTTTAATTACTTGTTGATTGGGAAGTTTCAGGAAAAGAAACCAGGATCATAGGTTTTTATAGGATTAGCACCCTGGAATGGGAAATTAGTGCTTTTATCTTTAGGAAGTTTGAGAATAAGAATAAATCAGGTGAAAAATATCAGGGAGTAACTCCTGGGAGATGCAGAGGTGCCATTGCGATGGGGGGGGGTTATTTGTGGAAGTAAAGAATTTTGCTGGACACACATCCACAACTTCCCTGGGCACAGGGTGTCCAGAGAAGCTGTGGCTGCCCCTGGATCCCTGGAAGTGTCCAAGGCCACGTTGGACAAGGCTTGGAGAACCCTGGGATAGTGGAAGCTGTCCCTGCCCAAGGCAAAGGGTGATATGGAATGAGCTTTAAGGTTCCTTCTCACCCAAACCAGACTGGGATTCAAAAATAGGCAACATCCAAATTAAAATCCTATTCATGTAATGTTGAAGAGGCAGATTTGGGGAAAGAGGAAGCAAATGTGTCCATGTGTGCTGTTCCCACTTTATGCGTTTAACTCTCTTGCTGCTGCTGTAGGTTCTGCTGCACAATCAGCATTCCCAGTTTTCTTTCATCCCTTAGAGCTTTTTCCAAAACCCTCAGCCTTGAGAGTTTAAGGAGCTGTATTTGCACAAGATTTGGGTTTCTTGTGGATGTGTAAATGCAACTGTGATGGAAGGTGATCCTGTTCTTGTCTCCTAGTTAATTTTAAATTGGTATTTAAAAATTGGTATTTGTATGTTGAGTTCCATAGTAGGGGGACCTGAGAAAAAAAGTCAATTTTTTAACTGGATTATGAATCTGAAGTAGAACCATTCCCAGTCACTATTCCTAACTGGGAACCTTTGACAAATGAGGTGATTTTTTAGGCTGAACAAGACAATGGCCATCCTCTCCCTGCCTTTGCCAATCTCCACATCGAGATCCTGGATGAGAACAACCAGAAGCCTTATTTCACAAAGTCTACCTACGAGGGCTTCATCCTGGAATCCTCCCCAGTGGGAACAACCATCTCGGATAATCGGAACCTGACCTCCCCCCTGCAGGTTGTGGTGCTGGACAACGACGTGGAAGAGGTACAGTTTGTTCTTTTAGAGTGGTTGCAGTTTTATAATTTTCAGGGTCCTTTCTTTTTTTCTTTCTTTTTTTTTTATTTTTTAATTGAGACAAACCTATTTTGATCAATGAATTAAAAAAAAATCACCCTAATTTCTTTATGATTTTCTGTTCGTTTTTGTTCTGAGTTCAGATAGATTTGGAAGTGGTTTTTTTCCGATCTGTGTTTTTCCCACCTCTCTGGAAGACTCTGTTCTGTTCAAGGTGGTGAATGCTCAGTGCACAGAGGAATCAAAATGCATTTTGTGACAGGGATGAGCCTGCCCCACCCCATGGAAATGGAAGAGGGCAGCTCAGAGAGAAAGGAATTCCTCATTTGAACCAAAAAGAAGAGGAATAGGAGGAACAGCAGGAGGCTGAAAGTTCATTGTGTTCTTTGCTCTGCCAGATTTTGATGTAACATTATTCACAGTGGAAGTCAGGCATCTCCAGAGGGATAGTAAGCAAGTAGTAACAGTACAACATCTCTGACCTTTCTTCTGTTCTCACCAAGATCATTATGGATTTTTTTAGCCAGTATTTCTTTCCCTTCTAATTTCCATTGTCCCTCCACTTATCTCCCTTGATCTTTTTGGTTCCTTCAGCTATAGAAGGAAAGCCAAGCTGCAGGCTTAGGTTTTGTAGGAGTAGTTATAGGATCTCCTGAGTAAAGTTCTTAATCTGAGAGTTTGAAAACAATCTGTTTTTCAAAGCTTTGCTTTAGGCAAATTCATGCTTTTTAAGGAACACAAAAGCCCATTGGCACTAAAGCATCACAGTATTAGAGCGATTTATTGTTTTAAATCCCAAGTTCCTGCAGAGGATCTCTATCCATTAAAGTTTCACCATCAATTTATGGGCATTGTTAAAAATTAATGGTTAGAAGGCAGATGGAAAATGCTATTGGATCTGTCCTTTGTGCAAGTTGGGTAGAAGGTATGGAATGTGGGCAGAGGGTGGGAATCAGCAGGAGTTATTGAACATCTGGATTGCTTGGGAAACACTCAGGTTCAGTTCTGTTTAAAGCAAAGCAATTTCTTGGTTGATCAAATTAATCTGATCTTGGATGCTGCTCTGGATAGGAGTAGTCAAGGTGGGCAAGGATCAGGTTCATAAATATAACACAGAGTTGGTGGATTTCCCATCCCTGGAAGTGTCCCAGGCCAGGCTGGATTAGGTTTGGGGAAGTGTGGTATAGTGGAAGGTATCCCTGTGCTACAAAGCCCAGAGGTCAGAGAAGTCATGCAGCACTGCTAGACACAATTCCATTGTGGAATAATTCAAAGCAATTCCCTTTAATGGAAGAAAATTCCATGTCCTACTTTAGACACTCAAATTTAGAGGCAGTTTTCTCCAGGGTTCTGGTTTTTTTGGTCTCTTTCCCATTTCTGGTGGGTGATGTTGCTACACTCGAGGGATGCCAGAGAGACTTGGGAATTCATTAAGTTCCAGAGGGTTTTCAAGCTGGAGTTAATAGTGCTGCATTAACCCTTCCCTGGCACCTGCACAGCTCTGCCCAGGAGAATCATCCAATCTGTGTGAGAGGCAGATTGGATAATTTGAGGTTCTCCATGTAACTCCATATTAGGTCATACCCAAGACAGAAAAATAGGATCTCTTGGAAATGTTAAATCCTGAATTTGGGCTGATTTTGATTGAATCATGTGGAAAGTATCAACATAGTATTTACACACTCAAAATACAAATATTTCATTTAGGGAATTTCTGCATGGAAGAGTAACCTGTTCTTTTAATTCCCTAGGTTTATAATAAAATCCTGGGATTTCTGCTCCCACTAGAAGTCCTTTCTGTTCCATATTTAGTAGTACAAGTTCATACCTGGAGTTCTGAGGGGTGCTCTGAGATTCTGAGATCCATCACAGGCAGTTTGACCATTGGACTCCACATTTTATTGTTGTACATCAGCACATTCCCATGAATTCCTCCCAATATTTGGATCTGGGATAGGGAAGTTCACTTATAAACTTGTGTTTGCCTGCACTAAAAATTCCAACAGAGTTGTGGCCTTTAATTGCATCACTAATAATGAAAAAAATCTGTCCAATCTGCAGCAGATTCTTAATTCAAAGCACGACCATGCTTTAAATAATCTACATCAGAAATTGCTGTAAAAACCAAATATATCTTTCTTGAGCAGCTTCAGGCAGCTTCTTAACAGTTGTTACATGTTTCTGTGGCTCAGTACAAACAGACCTGAAATTTCCTCTCCACAGGAAGGATATTCAATGGATATGGCAGTTCAAGGGCCCAAATGCTTTTCCTGGTGAGCTTAAGCTCATGTTTTAATTTTCATGGGATGATGAATAGCAGGAGTTGGTGAAGTTAGTGAAAATCTACTTCAGCCACACAATACACAATGAGGCAGAGCCAAAAGTTAATTCTTTTTTGTTTCTTGTTGGGAAAGATGAATGTTTCAGTGTGGCATGAGAAGTAACTGCCAAAAATCTATTTTGAGGCTGTCTTCTTGTTGTGGGTTTCTGCTGTCACAGGGAGAGATAAAGAAATTCAGGTGGATGAACATCTAAATGAGTGGAGAGGAACTTTTTCCAAGGGTGTGCAGTGATACAAGGGGGAATGGCTTCCCACTGCCCGAAGCCAGGGTCAGATGGGATATTGGGAAGGAATTGTTCCCTGGGAGGGGGGAAGGCCCTGGCACAGGGTGCCCAGAGAAGCTGTGGCTGCTCCTGGATCCCTGGAAGTGTCCAAGGCCTGGCTGGACACTTGGGCTTGGAGCAGCCTGGGATGGTGGAAGGTGTCCCTGTTCATGGCAGGGGGTGGCACTGGATGGGCTTTAAGGTTCTTTCCCACCCAAACCACTCTGGGATTCTGTGACGCACAGAGGTCTGCCTGCAGCCAGAGGAGATCAGCCTCCTCCTTGGGTGGAAATATTCCTTGTTCCTGTTCCTTTGGCATCACCTGGATCATGCACAGCCCTTTCCAAAGCCATGTCATGATGCAGATGTAACACAGATGTGAGAGAATCAGATTGAAGTGCCCGTGTTTCAATTCATGTGCCAGGGATTCACAGAGTGCTTCTAACCTGCTGTGGGCAGGAGAATTCCCAGAATTCTAGCTGGGAGTGCAGCAATTGCATAGAGCTCCCATATAAAATGGCCAAACACTAAGTGGGATTGTCAGCAGAGGTGATGATCATTAACTTCTGCAGGTCTCAGTGTCCTGATGGTTTCATTGTACCTCAGTAAACTCATGTATTTAGGAATATACCTAAATTTAAAGATTGCTGATGAGACACTGAGATAAATCTCCTCTGTGCTGGTGCATCCCAGTTCCCACTGGTGACCCTAGTTAATCATAGTGAATTCTGCCTGCTAATTGAAAAATTAAAATTACTCCATGTCCTCAGGTAAATGCAGGAAGAAAGTGCTCACTTAACTGTGTGTCTGAGGAAAAAAAAGAGCAAAACCCACTCTAAATTGAAACCCTGTGGGAATTATAACAGAGTCCTGCTATAAACCTTGCAGAAATTAATTTATAGATGGGACATTGCAAACAGACCTTTCCGTAGAGCAGCACTGCCAAGTGCTGATATAATTAAGTGCTCTGTTTAAATGGCATAAATTAAATTAAGTTACACAAGTACCTTAAGACCTGAGCAAACCAAAGCTGAGATGAGGACCTTAAACTGAGTGAGCTGAGAGCTCTTTACATAAGGCTTCCCAAGCCTTTTTTTCCTTCCTCTTTGGTTTCCATGGGAGAGAATTAATTTATCCAGTCATTAGGGTTGGTGATAAAGCTGCACTGAGTATCAGTCATGGAATGGGTTGGGACTTCAAAGCACATCCAGTGCCACCCTTGCCATCCTTCCACTATCCCAGGCTGCTCTAAGCCCCGTCCAGCCTGGCCTTGGCATTCCTGAATTATCTCATGAAGGACCAGGAGTTGGACTCAATGATCTTTGTGGTTCACTTCCACCTCAGGGCATTTTGTGATTCTCTGGAATTTTTTTTTTCAGACAACTTATTGGAAATTTGAAAGAATTTTAGTTAAGGATGTTTTGGCAGCAGACAGAGCAAGTAATGTATAAAATTAGTTTTAAATGCAGCTACAAGTGCAGGTTATGAATTTTCAATAATAGATCTAGAGAAGGAAAAATAATAGATTTTTTAAATTTCTTTTTTTAACCAGGAGAACTGAAGCATTTTAAATTCCAAAGTATTTTTCTCTGATATTTGCCTGATTTCTTCTATAACTCCCACTTGTTGTTTGAAGTTGTTTTGCAGTCAAGGGGACAAGTTCTGCTGGCCCTGGGCAGCCCTGCAGTGACACTCCAACAACTGTAACAACTCAGGAAATTTCCTTCCTAGAATTAAGGAGCCCATTAATATCATTATTAAAACAAACAGACAGTCAAGACAGAGACAAAAGGCTGCTTTCCTTCCTTTAGGATTTATAAAGATAGGGGTTAAAATGTTTTGGATCTTTACACTTAAGGAAACCAGAAATATTAACATTGAATTGCTCCTGTAGTGTTGTGTGTCTTTCTTGATTATTTTAGAATTAATATCTCATGGTTTCTGCCTTCTGACACTCCCAGGGAACAATTCCTTCCCCATATTCCATCTATCCCTGCCCTGTGGCAGTGGAAGTCATTCCCTGTGTCCTGTCCCTCCATCCCTTGTCCCAGTCCCTCTCCAGCTCTCCTGGAGCCCCTTTAGGCCCTGGAAGGAGCTCTGAGCTCTCCCTGGATCCTTCTCTTCTCCAGGTGAACACCCCCAACTCCCCCAGCCTGGCTCCAGAGCAGAGCGGCTCCAACCCCTCCATGGCCTCCTCCACACTCATTCCAACAGATCCACATCTTTCTTGTGTTGGGGAGACAGAATCTCCCCTGCTTTCCCTCTGCAAGGTTCTGGATCTCAGATTTTCCAGGTGAACATGGGAAAGACTTTCTCCTTTCACCCAGGAACAAGGACAGATGCTGGAAACACCTTTCCAACAAAACAAATTTTTCATGGACATTTCAGTGCTGATCATCCTCCACTTGAAAATGTTGGACAATTCAGCTGTGTCATCAAAGTGTCTTTTTATTAGTGCAGCTTTCAGGGGATGGGCCTGTGCTGCAAATTAGGAAGTCTGAGCATTTTGGGTACTCTAGGAACTATTTCTGGCTGACCTGGAGAACTTCACAGCCAAATAGACCCTGTCCAAAAACTTCTGGGATTGTTGAAACACACACAGAATAAATACCCTTGTCTGCTCAGTTGACAATATTATAATGATCCCAAATAATTTTGGTTTCATCTTCATCAGTTTTAGAAAACTGTTTGCTTTGGGCAGAGTTGTAACCCCTGTTGGGATTTGAGGAGTAGCAGGAATGCAGGAGCATCCACATCCATGCAGGAATTTCTCCAGAGATTTTTCAAGGAGAACACACTTGAGCCCAGGCTTTGGTTATTGGGTGCAGCATTTTGTGTATCTCCTTTTAATGTTTTGTTTTTTTTTTTTTCTTTAACCATGAATCCCCCAAATGTTTTCCTGTCCCTCAGTCCTGGGTTTGTGTTTCCTCACTCATGTTCATTTTGTGTTTTCCTTTGTAGGTCCCACCAGGTGCTTTCCCCGTAGGTATTGGGTGCTGTGTGTGCAAAACACCTTTTTTGGCCTTCATTGTGTGATTTCTTCCCTTATTTCCGCCTTTCCTCCCTCATTTCTCCCTGCCTTGATGATGTTTGAGTCTGGGACTGTCCCTTGGTTTGTGAAGCCTGCAAAGAGCCCTTTAAACACATTGGACCCAATTTTGGGCATAAAGTCATAAACTGTGATTGCTTAATGTTCATTAAATTATTGCAAGTCTTCAAAGACATCCTGAGTATTGCAGAAGTGCTTTTTACATTAAAAAGTAACTCAGATCTGAACTGTGTGCTTGAAATGCTCCTTGCATGTTGCATGTGAACTCTTTTGTATGGATTGTGATAATTTTCTACTTAAAATTCCACGTTAAACAATTTATCAGAGACCAGCCTTGTCTCCATGACCCAGTAATGTCAGCAGAAATCATCAGAAACAAAAGTGCTGAAATCCACGCCCTAAAAAGAAATTATTTTAAAAAATGAATCGTTGGAAATTGTGTTGACAATGTAGCTGGGGTTGTTCTCTCTTACATGAAATGTTCAATTAAGTCAAGCTGTCTTTTCAGGCAGTATAAAATGGGATAATAATGTCCAAGATGCCTGATAATAATGTCAAATATTCCTGGTAATAATGTCCAAGCATAACAATGCTTTTCCCGATGAAGAGAATAAATTGCTCTGTGGCTCTGACATGCCTGGGAGGTGGTAAAATAGGCATTGATTGCTGTAAAGGCAATTACCTTCCATATTAGGAGAACATTTCTAAGACAAGTATAGCAAAGGAATAGGACACATTACTCCAGAAGGGTTTCGGATCTCCATCATTGGCTTTTCTCAGGAATAAATTAGGAAAAAAGTGCTGTTTATTAGTGTTTAAAAGGACATGAAAGCAAGAACTGCAACATTAACTGGGGGTTTTGTAAATTAAATTCTTAACGGATTTTATGATATAGTCTACAGAATGAGCAATTATGGGCAATTACTTTACCTATATTTTCCTGGAATGAAGAGGTTGCTGTTTGCATTGCTGGCTGTAAAATGAATTTTCATTTTCCTAGGAGATGCAGTTGCAGCTTTAGGAACTGAGGAACCACTCGTGTGGAACACTTGGATAATTCTTTCCCGTGGCTTCCTGCAATGTTTTCTCATTTAAATAGTGTAATCTTTGCTTTTTTGGACTTTATTTAGGCTCAGTTAAACAGTTTCTCTCTGTCCTGGTTTTGTGCTGCTCTATCCTGGTGCGACCTGCTGCAGGTCAGGGCTGGCTGGGTGTTGGGGACCTGTCCTGTGCTCCCAAGAGTTTTAATCCTCCAGGAATGGCACTAATGGAGTGATCCTTCCAGAAGAGCTTTGGACTCAGAAAGTGTTCAGACAAATAATGTTCCTTTGGGAACTTTTTGTTTAATTCAGCTTTTCTCCTTTTGGGATTTTTTCTGGAATTCAGCTGATTCTCCCTATGGCCTCCTCTGTAGGGGTGGTATTTGTGGAATGATGTTGGAAAATAGCTGGTGAAATCCTGGATTTTCTGTCATTCCTGGTACCACTCCTCTGATTCCCTATCTCCACATTCATGGGGGCAGTTTAAAGCAGGATTTATAGGACTTGTCTCCTAGCCTTTTGCATTTTTCTGGAATTTGCATTCCTCTACCAACAGAAATAAACCCTGTAACTCATGAGTGAGAGCAGCAGGAAGTCAGGTTAAATCAATCAGATCATGGACAAGGACACAGAAAGTTGTTGGAATACTGGGGGCAATAAAAACAAATGTAGTTTGTTTGAAAATTTAACTCATGTAGAGTCTGATCAGTTAAATAAATCAAAAACACTTTGAAAGACTTGGAAATCAGGAGTGAACCAAGTCCTCAAGTAGCCATGAGTGAATTTACAAGGCTTTTTTCTGGTCTTTATCTTAAAATGTTACTTTTCAGTTCATTTATGATGTTTTCCTGCCATCAACTGAGAGGTTCCTAATTCTGCATCAATAATTTTGAATTCTTTCTGGGACATAAAAAGACCCCCTGGGCTGGCTCTATTTCCTGAAATACTTCACCACATGTCATTCTCTTTGTTCAGTGCACCAACCCAGCTGTTTTATTGTTCTGTTAATCAAGTTCAGCTTCTTTTGGGTTTTAATATGAAGATAAATGCTTGAATCTGGTTTCTTATATTAAGTTGTGTTAAAAAATACTGTTTAATGGGGGGAAAAAAGCACTTATTTAAAAACAGTACAAATATTTGCTTACAATTGGATTTTCTTACTCTGGTGGTTTTTTAATACATTTTTCATCAAGAAGATTAGATTTTTAGGCCACCAGTGAGATTTTTAACCTTTTTTTTACAGTTTTTTTAGATTTTTAGTCACAGCATTTGGGCTTATTTAAGTTTCAACTAAAAGAAGCACACGCAGCATGTAATTGGAGACTTAATGTCCCTCTGAATTTTATAATAAAATGCTCTTTTTTCCTTTGATATTGTTGAAAGACCAAGGATCCACAGCTCCATCTCTTTCTGAACGACTACACCACGTTTTTCACTGTGACTCAGAGTGGCATCACCCGCTACCTCACCCTGCTGCAGCCTGTGGACAGGGAGATCCAGCAGCTCTACACCTTCTCCGTAAGTTAAATGCCCTTGGAAAAGTCTCCATGCAATGCTCAGAGCAAGTGGTGGGAAAGGATCAATTCCAGCATTCTCAGAAGTCTTGAAATGGCCCAGAAGGAGGAGAGCAGTGAAGGATGAGTTGGTTGAGAGCAGCATTGTAGATTCTCCTGCCAGCACCTTCTCCATGGCCCCAGCATTGGCACCTGCTCCTCATCCCATGGCAGGTTCTGAGCCCTCGTTTTTATTCCTGGCCTTACTTTTCTCGCTGCCTTTTTTCACTTATGCCTGGAGCCAGGAACATGAGCCTTGTCTTAGGTTTTTTGCTTTCTTTTTATCCCAAATTAAAAAAAAAATAAAAATAGACTGACAGAAAGCACAACCAGCTGTACTAAAAAAAAAAAAAAAAAGAAAGAAGAGAAAAAAAGCTTAAATGGATTTAATATTCCCTCAGGCTGTGAGTGAACCCCTTAGCAGCTCTATAGCAATTTGGATATTGGCTGTGGGCAAGCCCAGTTCTGCAGGGGTTCCCAGTCTGTGCCTCCCTATTTTCTGTCCATTTTCATTGGAAAGGAGAGCTCCAGTTTCCTCTGTGGAATAAGAAGAGACCCCAGCTCTGTAATTCCCACTTCAAAACATTGTCTGAGAGGTTTAATAGAGCTCCTGGGTGTGGTGATATCCAGGTGAGACTCCTTGAACTCAACAGCTCCTATCTCAGCCCCATCCCTGGGAAATTACAAGTTATTCCCTCTCACTTCTACATTGGAAAGGTTTGGATGTGTTTGCTTTGCTTTTGCTCTGAGTCTGGCACACGCAGGCTCAAGCTCTGCTGAATGCTCCTGTAGTTGTAAATGCAGAGAGAAACAAAATGCTGATTTTGGGTTGTCAGGCTGTATTTTCTCCTGTTGGAATTGTATTTCTCTTGGAATTGTATTAACACATCATTAAAATACATTCCTGTCCTGCTTTTTTTATCCCTCTGAAGATGACAGCTTCTGATGGAGTCCAAGAGAGTGTCCCAGTGACTGTGAACATCCTGGTGATCGATGCAAATGATAATACCCCGACCTTCTCCAACATTTCCTACAATGTCAAGATCTATACAGATATGAGGCCTGGAGAAGGTGTTATTAAGGTAATTTCAGGGCTTTTATTACATTTGTTAACTCACTTTTTGTTAGCAGTATATGGCCTTGTTCATCTAAATTGGAAATGCACTGAAACCATCTAGAAATGAAGTTTGTGTATCTGCATCCACTTAATTAAATATATGTTCAAAATGGCTCATACTAAATGTCAGGCCTGTTTTAGCTGTAGAGCTGCAGCTCAGCTGCTTCCTCTGAGGTTCCACAAAAAAACTTCAGCTGAAAAAATCTCAAAAGAAAAAGAAAATTCTCCTTTATTAGCGGGACCTTGAGATTAAACATTTTTGGAGAACAGGTAAGCAGTGCAGACATTATCAGGAATGTTTTCCCATGCCAGAATACCTGCTGTTTTTTGCAAGTTTGTTTGTAGAGCAAATGAGCAAGGAAAAATGGGTTGAACACCGACCCAGAGAGAAGCAGTTTCAGTTTCAGCACTGATTTATGTTTTAGTGCAAGACTGGAGGTGAATCCTGGTGACACTGAAATTAATGGATAAAGGCTCTTTTTGCATAATTCTTCCAAGATCTCAGGCCTGCTCTGAATGCTGCCGGTCTAGATAGATGAGAAGACAACATGCCAGTGGTGTTATTCCAGAGTGGTTGGAGGCAGTGGGAATATTGGGAAAATAAAATTAGTCAGCTGACTTAGTATAAAATGCCATTTTCTGAATGTAATCAGGAATTAATTTGACTGTAGCAGTGATGAGGAGACAGTTCAGTGCCCCTTCTGTCTCTCTTGAGCTGTACTTGTGCCTTTGCATCTTCAGCTCTTCCTTTGTGTTGTTTTGTTCCCTCAATTTGGGATACATGTGCTTAAAAACCAGTAGGGACAGCCACAGGGGCATTTCCAGCAAGATCTATAGGGAAGAAAAAAAGTTTGATGGTTAGGTTCCTTAAAATGCTGCACAAGGGAGGATGGAAACACAATATCAAATACTGTTGTCCTGAAGGAGCAGGGAGCATGAGGCAGAAAATGTTGCTAAATGAGATTTCTGCTCATAAAAACAATGTTTTGTACTCAAAGTCGGCCTTGAGGATGCTCTGAGCTGCCTGAGATGTGTTAATGATACCTGGGATGAGGCAGAGCAGCTCCTGGGCTTGTCTGAAGCTGCTGAAGTGTTTCTGTGCTCAGAGGGAAGGTGCTGCTCAGTTCTCAAACACATCCTGGCATTGCAGCTGCAAACATATAACATATTCCAAGCCTGGAGGCTTTCAAAGAGCAGGAGGACACATTTCTTAGGACAATTGAGCCAGAACAGGTTATTTGGGAGAGGAATAATGGGGAAGTTGGGCCTTTAGCTCACCTCTGCCAGAAAATTTAAATTCCAGGAGTGAGGTTTTCCCAAATCCATGCTCTGTTTGCACAGTCAGCACATGGCTACTTCCAGGTTTTCTTGAGTTTGTAATCTGGTCAGGGGGGAAAGGTAGAAAATTCTGGGTGGTTTGGAGATAAGTTTTTTTTTCAACTCATTCCACGTTACCAGATGATCTGAGTTTCTCAATTACCTGGCCTAGAAAAAAAAAAGTTAATGGTCAGGTCTTAGGATTTCAGTAGACTGGTGATGATGGCAGAAATAGAGAGGGCCCAGCACAGGAAGGATTTGGAGCTGCTGGAGAGAGTCTGGAGTAGACACCAGGATAGATCAGAGGGATGGAGCAGCTCTGCTGGGAGAAAAGGCTGGGAGAGCTGGGATTGCTCTGCCTGGAGAGGAGAAGCTTTGGAGTGACCAAACTGTGGCCTTCCAGTGACTGAAGGGGCTCCAGCAGAGCTGGAGAGAGACTTGGGACAAGGGATGGAGGGACAGGACACAGGGAATGGCTTCCCACTGCCAGAGGGCAGGGATAGATGGGATATTGGGAAAGAATTGTTCCCTGGGAGGGTGGGCAGGCCCTGGCACAGGGTGCCCAGAGAAGCTGTGGATGCCCCTGGATCCCTGGAAGTGTCCAAGGCCAGGTTGGACTTTGGGGCTTGGATCAGCCTGGGATAGTGGAAGGTGTCCCTGCCCATGACAGGGGGTGGGATTGGATGGGTTTTAAGGTCTTTTCCAATCCAAACCAATCCCTGATAGGGATTTTGGGCAGTTGCACTATTTGGTAGTTTCCTCAATTTTTAGCGATAAAATATCTATAGCACGTATTTTACCATTCAGACCTTTGATATATAGACACCCACAACCATAAATCACTTCTGACCAGTAAAGGTTTTCCTATATACATATATATATATATATACTTCATATATATAAAGGCTTTATAAAGACTTTCTCAGAGGCCAAACTGACCTTTCTTTCCCATTTTTTGAACCCTGACACAGTGATTTTGAGGGGTACTCACCTCATTGCCTGCATGAGGAGCAAAGTCACCTTGTACCCCACCCTCCCTCTTGGGGTAGGGATCCTTTGGGATCCTCTGCTGGGAGAGGATGCTCGTCTCTGACAGTTCCCAGAGGAAAATTAGTCCATAAAACCGCTTTGTATGATCAGAGAAAGCAAGTTAGAAAAAGAACACTGACCTCAGCGTGTCTGGACAGTCTCATAACCATCTATAATAATCAGACTGGGTTTTGGCCACTTGACTTTTATTATCCTTAAGGATAATAATCTTTACATTTCTTGGGTTTTTTTCCAGAGTGCAGTTGCAGGAAAATGTACAAATAAAATGGACAAATAATCTCAGTTTTTGCTTTCTTGCTTCCCTATTTTGTGGGACACTGTTTTGATTTTACTCCTGAAAAAATTCCCAAAACATAATAGCTTCTAAGTTACTCACGTTTGTTGTCTGGTACACTCTTGAACAATAAAGGAAATTTATCAGTTCTTAGGTTCTGCTTGAAAATAACCACAAATAGCAGGCAATATATTCATTACAAGCAGAATTCAATTTCTCTCCCATTTTTTCCTTTCTGCCTGGATGGTTAGACCAAGGCATTTTCCTTCTTTCCCTATTACCTTTCAGAGAAGTGAGAAAACCAGGTTTTATTTTTATTTCAGTTGTCTCCTCTCAGAACTTGTGAAATTGTTTCAGGCCTTGGTTGAGGAGAGTTAAGTTTAAATGTCTCTGTATTTTGTTCCTTTCAGCCTGAAAATTTCTCATTTTTCCTTCTCCTTTCATAGGTATTTTATAGTGCTCACTGAGTTTCTCAATTGAGAAATCTGTCCTTTAAAACAGTTAAATGGGGTAAATAGTAACTGTCACTAGAAAGATTATTAACAGTAAACCTAGTAAAGTACTTAATTCCATCTTTTTTATGTTATTATATTTTGCTGCCCAGTTTTCCATTTTTCCACTGCTGTGACAAAGATATTGAAATGAGTTACATATTGGTGGGTAGAGTTTGCATCAGTGGTGCAACAAAATTTCATCTCAATAGTTTAAATCTACTGTTTTTCTTTAGACATCTCTCATTTTTATATTCAGGATGCAGGGCATAGGGAATATTGAGCAGGAAAATGAGAGAGCTGGGAAGGGACAGAGGGTGGTAAAAAGTATTATTCACTTAAATCTCAGCCCATTAGGAGATTTTTTTATATTTTGTCTTTACAGGAAAACTTGTGGACTGGCCTTAAATGTAATTCATGGAATCACAGAATGGTTTGGGTGGGAAGGGACCCTAAAGCCCATCCAGTTCTGCCCTCTGTCATGGGCAGGGACACCTTCCACTATCCCAGACTGCTCCAAGCCCCAAAGTCCAACCTGGCCTTGGACACTTCCAGGGATCCAGGAGCAGCCACAGCTTCTCTGGGCACCCTGTGCCAGGGCCTGCCCACCCTCCCAGGGAACAATTCCTTCCCAATATCCCATCTAATGGGAAGCCATTCCCCCTTGTCCTGTCCCTCATCCCTTGTACAGAATCTCTCTCCATCTTTCCTGTTGCTCCTTCAGGTCCTGAAAGGTCACAATTAGGTTACCCTGAAGCTTCTCTTGCCCAGGCAGAACAATCCCAGTTTTGCTCTTCTTACATCCTACCTCATATCTTATCCCTAATTTCCTGGTGCAGTGGCATGACTCACTTTCAAGTGCTCTCTTCCAAGAAAAAATAAATAACTCCCTGATTGAAAATGGAGAATAAAACAGACAGGGGATCAGTGCCCTGTTCCCCACTGAAACAATTTTGTCTGGTTGCAACAGTAGAAATTAATTTTTAAGGTCCTGCCCCAGCTTAGCCTAAGTTCTTGATTTACAGTTCTTAAATCTGCATTGTGCCATAAAAGAGCAGGACAGTTAAGCAGAAATCTTAAGATCATGGAATATCCGCAGCTGGAAGGGACCCACAGGGATCATGGATCCAGCTCCTGGCCCTGCCCCAACAATCCCATTGTGTGCATCCTTGGGAGTGTTCTCCAAACACTCCTTGGGCAGCCTTGGGGCTGTGACCTGTTCAATGCTTGACTACTTCTGAACATTTACCTAAAATAATCCTCATAAAGGTAATTTCCACATCCCACTTCATATTTTATTTACATGTTTATTTGCAACCTTTTGCCTTCTGCCCGTCAGGTAATTAATTTCCATCTCCAAAGCAAACCTGATTAGCAGAAAGAGAAAACAAAACCAGGCTGTGTTTGCATTGTTCAGTCAATGTCCCTGCTGACTCAAGGAAAAATAGTGAATTGAAGCTTGATGAAATGTCTGGAGGAGATAATGAAAAAGTATTTTAACCTGCTCAGAGATCATAATGTGTGGTTGACTCAAGTTCAGGAATATCTCCGTAACAATCCTGGAATTTTTGCATCACACTGAATCTGATGAGAGCTGCTGGGAATGTTGGTCATCACTTTATCTGTCTAGGGAGAGGTGACCACAAACGTTCCTGTAAGAAGATTCCCAGTCAAACATTGAAGCCCAGTTTCCTCCAGTAATGAAATGAGTCTGAGCAGGGTTTCTATCATAACCAAAATGTGTCTTTGTAAGCTTAAGGCCATCCTTCTAAACCTCCTTTCTCTCCCAGGAAAACCACTTTCAAACCTCCTTCCCCTCCCAAGAAAACCACTCCTAGATCTCCCCTTCCTCTCAAGAAAACCCTTCCTAAACCTGCTTTTCCTCCCAAGAAAACCACTTCTTGCTGCAGCAGAATCCATACCTGTTTTGCCAGACTTTTCGTACATTAAATGTTGATGCAATGGAGCTGATCCTGCTGGATGAAAATTTCTTAGGATTGTAAATGAAACCTTGTTTTGTTCTTTTCCCTTTACATTTTATCCTCTATTTCTTAAATTTTTTTAACTATGGAGCTCTATCGGGCTGAGACAGCTGGAGATGGGATTTATAGAGTCATATATTATGGCAACAGTTAAACTTTAATTCTATTTAATCCCAGATTTGATTCCTGGTTTTGCCCCCAAAATGTTTTTCAAATCACTTATCTTTCCAAGCATTCCATATTTGTAGGTTTAATTAACCTTCTTAATCTCTGTGCTTGTGTAGTCAATTATTTTTCCTTTTTCATGTCGTCACAGTAAAAACTGGCCTGGTTCCAAATCCTGTCATTAAATCCTCAGGACCCTGTATTTTGCATAAAGGCTTTATTTATCTTTTGTGTCTCTGTGTGTTACTTTGAAGTTCAGCAGACAAGGTTTTTACAGCTCTGTCACTTGGGTGGATAATTACTCTCTGCAAGGTTAATTAACATACCCAGGTATGTGTAGAAGCTATAGAATGAGTGATTAAATTACAGTTTTCATAGGATGACTCCTTCAGAATTCCAAAAGAAGATAGAGAATGAGGTAGATAAAAAAAGCCCCACACAAATATTAATTTATTTTTTAAATTTTTAAGAGGAGGTGACCTCTCTTCCATGACTTTTGGGGCATTTCAAAATGCCATGTTCACTATACATTGTGCTCCAAATGCTATATTGCTCTCCAATTGCTCTCAAAAATGCTATAGGAGATGAATTAAGATTTGTTTTTGAAGCTATTGTGGGCTTAATTTTTGGTTTGGAGAATATTTATGAGTTTCTAAATGAAATTTTGTATTTCACTGAGCCTCTGTGCATAAAGGATCAAGATTATCTTGGACACCAATTATATCCCTGAGTTTTCCCTTAGAAGTGTCCAAGGCCAGGCTGGATGGGCCTCTGAGCAGCCTGGTATAATGGACAGTGTCCCATGGAACTCGATGAGCTTTAAGGTTCCTTCCCACCCAAATCATTCCATGATTCCACGAATTCACATCCTCCCCTTGGTGCTTAATGTTGTTTGCAAATGGGATTAACTCAGATATTGCAGCTTCGAGGTTTATTCTTGTTTGAGTGGCAAGGTTTGGTTCCTGCTCTTCTAAATTTTTAGCCATCCTTGGGCAAAGGTGTTTTGCTAGTTCCAGGTGTTGTTTGGCAGTTGTAGGTTGTGGTTTGGTGCTTTTAGGTGTTTATTTGGCAGTTTGGGCTGGTGGTTTGGCAGTTCTAGGTGGTGGTTGGCAGTTTTAGGTGGTGATTTGGCACTTTGAGGTGCTGGTTCGGCACTTGTAGGAAGTGATTTGGCAGTTTTGGGTGCTGGTTTTTCGGCCTTGGGCAGTGCTGTGAGAGGCTGTGAGCTGCTGAAGTTGCTGCATTGATCGGTAGATGATTTTCTATGGAAGCGTGGCAGGGCTGTCAGGGAGTTCCTGTCCCTGACTCAAGGTGTCAGGGTGATAAGAGAGGCCCGGAGGCAGAGGCTGAGGATGCTGTTCAGCTGGCCTTGCCTCAAGGAGGGGCTGTTGATCCTGCCCTTGGCCTTGCAGTCGGTGCCAAGGTTTTCCGTCACCGCTGATGTCCAGCGTTCCCATCCACCATCCCTGCTTGCCCCAGGACAGGAGTGTTTGTGTCAGGAAAGCCGAGGCAGAGACCTTTGAAGAAAGTATCTTCTTTTTCATCCTCAGATTCCTGCGGCTGGGATTACTTTGGACATTCCAGAAAAGGTCTGCTGTCACCCCTGCTGGTGCCCTTTCCCATTCCCTACCTCCCACTGCTTGCCTGGAGCTGGGAGCAGCAGACGACCCCCATGGTGCCATCATTCCTTGTAACTTCCATTGCCAGCTGTTGGCAGCTGGATGCACAGCTGGATACTGTGGCCTCCTGAATGTTCCAGTGCTGTTCACACCACTTTGTGTCGTTCCTTGTGCTGTCTGAGGGAATGTTGTTCTACAGAATGAAAAGTCAGTTGAGGAATCTGTGTATCAGCAAAACAACTCCTCAAGGAGGAAGAGACAACATGGCCAGGTTGAATAGGGCTTGGAGCAACCTGGGATAGTGGAAGGTGTCCCTGCCCATGGCAGGTGGTGGAATGAGATGAGCTCTAAGGTTCCTTCCAACCAAAACCACTCTGAGATTTTCTTCCATGATTTACTAAAAGCAAGTATATTCCCTGTGCTCTAATTCCTGGCTGAGTGTGTGTTTGATTTAACATGGCTCACTACAGAAATGGGATAAACCCACTGCCTTTCCCAGGAGGAAGAGAAGAACCCCCTCATTTCATTATGTTCACCATTAGAATTTAGGTCTAATACCAAGATTTAAATTTTTCTCAAGTGATTTAAAGACAACGTGACACTTGGGAACGTGAGTTAGTGGTGGCCTTGGCAGTGCTGGCTTAGCAGTTGGACTCGACCATCTTAGAGGGCTTTTCCAACCTGAATGATTCCATGATTCCAAGTGTGTATCCATATGGGAACATCTGCCATTTCCCTTCCACTGGGCTGCCATAGCTGTAGGAGCATATTAACACAAATATTGCTCTCCAGCTTTGCACGAGGAGGACTTGGAATGCCAGGCCTGGACATGAGACTTCCTGGCACCACCAGAGCTGTCACCTGGAAAAGCAGAGAGAGGGATAGGAAATAAATAATCCCCTCATTACTATTGCTACACAAAAAATGTCTTATTCTCCCTTCTACTTTTATAGAAAGTCTTATATATTCCTACCCACAGACAATAAACTCGGTCTAAATAAGGTTTCTTAATTTGTATCTTAAAATAAGTAGCTTGCGTCCTTAGCAAACAGTTTTTTCTCTTCTTCATTGTTTTTACACCTATTACTCTTCATTTCAGCTGTATCTTTGTTGTGAAGTGCTTACAAATTGGTGTGTGTGTTCCAGATGTTCAAGTTCCCCTCTCCTCCTCCTGAGTCACCTTCCTAGAGCCTGTGGAAGTGGCCTCTGCTGACTCTGTGGTTTTGCCTTGCAGCTGACGGCCGTGGATGCGGACGAGGGAGCCAATGGCCAGATAGTGTATGAGATCCTGGCTGGGGCCCAGGGCGACTTCACCATCAATGAGCAGACAGGCCTGATCACCATTGCTCCAGGAGTGGTGCTGGCAGTAGGGCGCTCCTATGCCCTCACGGTCAGAGCATCTGACAGTGCCCCCCCTGCACAGAGAAGGTAATCAGTGCATCTCCAGCAGCTCAGCAGTGACACCTGTGCCACGGGGTTTTCATAATTTTGTTTGCTTGCCATGGTCTGTTATTTAAAAGCTCCCAATTGCGTTGTCATTGTGCATGTCCATTCATTCGTTGAGGTGGAGGGATGGAAAGAAGAAACCAAGTGAGAAGGGAGATGCTTTTTGTTCAGAAAATGCAAAGAGGATCCCAAAGAATGTTAAGCTGGAGACCTTCTCCAGATGTAAGGTGTGCGGTGTCCCCACTAAGACTGAAATTCCTAAGGGTAGAATTATCTCTGTTGACCCCAGCTGAAAAAGAAGAGCAGACTGCAAATTTAGGATTTAGGCAGGGAGGGGAACATCATCATCTTCAAGGTCCCTTTTAACCCAAATCATTCTATGATCTATTAAGTTCAAAAACCGTCAAAGGTATCAAGCCTTGCTTACCTCTTTCTGTGGAGTTTGTGTTCTAAAGGTGGCAGTTGTACCAAAATGTCATTTCATGAAGATGTGGAGGGACCAAAAAAATTTCTCTTGTGTTCTGGGCCTGATATTGATATTGTGCCAACATCCTTGTCCAAAGAGCATGATGGGGAGAAACAGGAGGTTCCAGCATTTAAGCCTCCCAGAACTGTAAAGTGAAAACCTCTTCTTCAAATGGGAAATGAAAGAAGGAAAGAAAGTACAAGAATAGGGTTTCAATAACTGGATTTTCCTCAGGACCTGCTGCTTCTATCGTGTCTCCAAGAAAGCAGCTCATGCTGTTGTGCAAATATTTTATAATTACTTTCTCTTCATCTTGTTAAGTTGTTCATAAAATTAACATCTGGTAGCAGTCCCCTGGTTGAATTTCACTCTCTTTTTTGTCCCGCTTGCTTTTTGATAAACCCTCTTGAGCTGGTAGTAGGCTGCTAGTAGTGCTGAGGAGAAGATTGAGAACAATTATGCATTTATTTTGTGTAGTAGTTCAGAGTGAAGGCAAAAAATCAGTAATTCTCCTTCTGAGAGTCTGAGATCCCCATGGTGTGGCTCCACACCACAGCTCTGATTGCCATCAACTCCTTTTGTGCTGTAGAAATCTTTGTGTTGCCTAAACGTGTATTTCTGAGGATGGATGTTGGGAGCCTGTTCTTTCTCCTCTGAAAATGTCTTCAAGGAATATAAGAAGTGGAAAGCTCTTCCAGGATAACCAGAGTCATCTGGAAAGTGGCTGGGTTTCAGTCTCCCTCTTGCTTATGCACAAAGCAAAACCCAGCCACTGAACCTGGCTCAGGAACTGTAGCTCTACAGCCTTTGTAAACACAAATTTAAATTGGAATTTTGAATTCTGTGTAGGTTTGTTGGGGTTTTTTTGCATGGAATGACATTTAAAAATATTGGTGGGTGGCTGTGCCCCAACTGAGATTTGGGGTTTGAGTATTATTAATTACAATTATTAGTGTAAGTTACTGAGATATCATGGAATTGTTAAGGTTGGAAAAGACCTCCAAGACATCAAGTTCAACCTTGTCAACTAAACCATAGCAAGTGTCATGTCCAGTTATTTCTTGAAACCTTCTAGGGCTGGAGATTTCACCCCTTCCCTGCACAGCCCACTCCTGAAGCACAACAACTTCTATTTTTGGAAAATAAATGACAACATTTGTAAAATCAAACAATTTCAGGTCAGACTTTAAGCTTTTCACAATCCCTCAGATTCCTGGACATGGGGTTTGTAACACTTGGTGATACAGGGTTCTGCTGGATCAAGTCAAGATAGGTTAGTCCTCTTGGATGGAAATACATTCACAATAGATTTTATAACTGGCCAGAACATCTGTGGCTGCCCTTGGATCCCTGGAAGTGTCCAAGGCCAGGCTGGACAGGGCTTGGAGCGGCCTGGGATAGTGGAAGGTGTCCCTGCCCATGGCAGAGGTGGCACTGCAGGAATTTAAGGTCCTTTCCAACCTAAACCATTCCATGATTCCATGTGGAGATTATTTAAGCAGAGATGGGGATGTAGTTGACTTTCAATCAGCTGGTGGGGCACAAAAGCTGTTTTTCCATACTGGAATGATTTGGGGAGCTCTCTGCAGTTCCCAAATGTTGTGCTGGTCTCTGTGTATTCACCTGCAAACACCAGCTGCAGTGCCTGACTCAGCTCCATCTCCTTCCCCTTCCCATGCCAAAGGAGAATTTTCCAGCTCCTTAACTGGGCTATTACGCACACAAAAGGCACAGGGGAAAAATACAAGGTGTTCATAAAAAACGGATTGGAATTACAAAAAAAGACATTTAATATTTGCTTTAATTTGCAGACTATTAGTATTTTAGTTCTGTGATTTTTCCTTAAATATTTGAAGAAAATTGGCTTACTATTTCTAGAATCCCCGAATGGTTTGGGCTGGGAGAGTTCTTAAAGCCAGTCCAGTCCTTGGGCAGGGACACCTTCCCTTATCTCAGGCTGCTCCGAGCCCCGTCCAACCTGGCCTTGGACACTTCCAGAGATCCAGAGGCACCCACAGCTGCTCTGGGCACCCTCCCAGGGCAATATCCCATCTATCCCTGCCCTCTGGCAGTGGGGAGCCATTCCCTGTGTACTGGCACTGAATCTTGTGACTGTGTGTGTGTGGATGTGCCCTGAGGGGCAGAGTCCCTTCCCTGGGGGTATGATTTGTCCTTCTGGCCAGCAATTTCTTATCCTGGAGCTTGTGTGACAGTGTGTGTGTGGGGTGTGTGACAGTCCCCAACTGGGTGCTCTCAGTCCTGGCATTGCTGCAAAGCTCTGCCCAGCTCCTGTCAGTGATCCAGACCTGCAAAACCTGCTGGGAAAGGGCAGTGGGCAGGGGTGACTGTGCTCAGCCACAATTTTGGGTAGCTAATTAAAAATATTGATCAGTAATGTGCTGTTTTCATATTAAGTGAGCTCAGTTAATACAGCAGCTGTTTCAACAATAAATGACCCTCTAAAAAAGCTATGGAGTTTGCTAGTCCTGCAAGAAGCAGCTCTTTGGGTTCATGATTTTCTTCTCTCTCCCTCTCCCTGCCCCACCTCTGAAAAACAGGGACAAATCCCTTTGGTTTCTTTCCTGCAGCCCTAAAACCTGAGATTTGTCAGCTTTGTCCAAGGATTTACAAGGTGAAAAAGCTACACCTGCAGCACAGCACTTGCTCTTCTTAAGGGTTTGTTCTGGGCTGAGGATGCTGTGCTGACATCTAGGAGGGAAGGCAGGTGGGATAATGAAGTAGAGAGGCAAGAGGAAGATACCTTTAAGTCAGATTTTTAATCTTCCATCTCCAAGGGGACTCCTGGCTCCCTTTCTCAAGTTGAGGCTGTTGGATATCAAATGGGTTTACAGGATGGTCTGTGCAGGGTCTTCAGTGTCAGTGTTCCAAAGAACCTTCAGTATTCCACCTGGAGTGCTGTTTGCAGTCTGTTTGGGACAGGGATTTAGCACAGCTGAAGTGTTTGCCAGGGATTTGTAGCATCCTGCATTGCCACTGCTCTGAAATGGGATTTACTGCTCTGAAATGAGGATTATTGACCCACAGCATCACAGCAGCCTGACAGAGTTGTGTGCATCTCTTCTCCCAGCATTATCCTCTCTGCCAACATTTTCTGCTCCCTCTTTTCCAAGGAAAGGAAGCAAACTGACTGCCAGCAGGGATGCTCCAGGGGTGGCTGATGTGCATGGCAGGAGCAGTTCTCAGGTTGGAATTGGTGCTGCTCCCACAGAAGACACAGTGCATTGAGAGCTGTTTGTTTGTGCAGTGTGCACTGATGTCTCACTGCTCTATTTTTGAAAGAACACCACTTTGGGCTGCTTTGGGGGAAATTATTGAGCTTTTCTTCCTGTTCATGTGGCAGCCTGCTTTCCTTTTGATCCAAAAGGAAAAAAATGTCCTGAAGCTATTAGAGGAGCAAAGGGAGGCTGTTAGAGCTCGAGAACACGATGTGTAAAGCAGCCACTGTGGTGCCTTGTGGATTGGATTTATTGATTCTGACTGGTTTTGACTGGTTTTGACTGGTTTTTTCCCCCTTGCACTGCAGGAGCTCCATCACCACTGTTTATATCGAGGTGCTGCCTCCCAACAACCAGAGCCCTCCACGCTTCCCACAGCTGATGTACAGCCTGGAAGTCAGCGAGGCCATGAGGATCGGTGCTGTTCTGTTAAACCTGCAGGTACAGAGGCTTCCCTGGGGCTCCCTGAGGATGGTGAAACCTTCTCCACTTTCCTGCCCTCTGTGTCCATGCCATACACAAGCCAGTCCTTGCATTCAGGGAAGAAGGGGCAGTTCACAGGGATTGAAAATTATTTCATTTTGATCAACAGTCCCTTTTACATGGACTGTAGAGAAAAAAGGCCCATTTGGCTATTTCTGTTACTTCTTTTTTGATTTAAATATTGTAAAAGATGCTATAGGCTGCAAATGGCACTGCCCAGAGACGCTGTGGTTGCCCCTGGATCTCTGGAAGTATCCAAGGCCAGGATGGATGGGACTTGGAGTAGCCTGGGACAATGGAAGGTGTCCCTGCCCATGGCAAGGGGGGTGAAATGAGTTGATCTTCTAAGTCCCTTCCAATCCAAACCATTCTGGATTTCTGTGATTCTGTGATAATTATATTAAAGAAAATTCTATGAGTGGCTGGAAACTTGAAAGGCCTGTGATTTCTTGTGTTAAAATCTCTCAATATTTGCCAGCAAATTCGAGGAGCTTCAGCACCTCATTCCAGGGGAATTTCAGCAAGATTTTTGGCAATTTGCCTTCCCTAGCCTGTCATTCTTGAAAAATGCCTGAAGATATTTCTACCCCTTGATATGTGTAACAACAGGCTGAGAGGGAGCAGAGATCCCAGTGCTGCCAGGCCCAGGATTAGTGGGACCTTGTGCACTAGAATCAGGGATCATGCAACAGCTTCTGGCCAGGTCGAGGAGCAGGAACTTCCCTCATCCTCATGCACCAGGACCAGACCTCCCCTTGTTGTGCTAATGGTTAAATAATCAGTTGTCTCCTCACTTATTTACTGTTATTTATTTACTGCATTGTGTTCTGCCCAAAAACCAGCTGTGAAAAATAGGGAGATAAATGGCAACTCTTTATTGAGTTGGTTTTTTTTGGTTTTTTTTTTTTTGAGGGATCAGGAATTTACTTAATGCTGTGTTTAGCAGTAGTGAAATAAAGGAGCTCTAATTAACTGACTGAAGCAGGTGGATGGTAAAGCTCCTCTAAAATGGTTTCCTGCTGAAAGACTAGGATTATTCTGGCTGGTTAAGCTCATATAGTCACTTGTGCTGAGGGAGGATGACTAATTTAGCTCAGTGCTGCCAATTAACTCCTGGCACATCCATGGTGCCTGCGGGAGGAAGGAGTGGAAGGGCCAGGCTGCTCAGGAGCCTTCTCCTCCCCAGTCAGAGACATTTGGGGTTGGAAGCCCCAAAGAGGAACAGGAGCCAGAAACATGCTGAGAAACAGAAACATTTGTGTTTCCTTGACAGGTGCTGGAACCTCTGGCTGAGGGCCTGAGGGCTCTTTGGAGGCAGAAAACCTGTTGGCAGGTTTTACTATTGAAGGATTTGATGGGATTTAAATGTGGTTGGAAAGTGAAGCTCCAATGGAATAATCTGCTTTAATACCCAAACAGCTCATTCTGTGCTGGCCCTGCTGAGGGACCTCGAGGGCTGTGTCCAGTTCTGGGCCCTCCTGGCCAGAGAGCCCTGGAGGGGCTGGAGCGTGTCCAGGGAAGGGAACAGAGCTGGGGAAGGGGCTGGAGCCCCAGGAGAGGCTGAGGGAGCTGGGAAAGGGGCTCAGCCTGGAGAAAAGGAGGCTCAGGGGGAACCTTCTGGCTCTGCA